ATAAATCCCAGAGAGGTAGAAGGAAATCAGTGGAGAAGAATGAGAATTGGGAGCCAACTTTGCACAGCAGTCAAGATGCTTACTTGGGACACCCGCATCCTATACAGCAGTACCCGGGATTCAAGTCTCAGCTCTGCCTCCAACTCCAGCCTCTTGCTAATTAATGTACCTGGGGAGGCAGCAGGTGATGGCTGGCCCAAGTTCTTGAGTCCCTGCCACCCATGTAGGAGAACTGGATTGAGTTCTGGACTCCTTGGCTGTTGTGGGCATTTGGGTGTGAACGGGCAGGTAGAAGATCTTTGTCTTTGCCTCTCTCAGTCTCTCTGCCTTCCAAATAAGTAAGTAAAAAACAAAAACAAAACAAAAACAAAAAACCCTAAATCTCTGTCATTAAAAAATTGATAATGCAGGAATAACTGAGCGGTTTGAACTAAATTGATCAACTCAAACTAATTTTTTAAAAGACAAAAAAGTGATACTTTTTTAAAAAATATGAAATTAAAAGAAAAAAGAGAAGATACAACATCAGGAACATATCTATAGGTAAGATTATTTTTTAAAAAGTAGAAGAAGAAAAAGAAAGGAAGACAATATTATTTAAAAATTTTTTAATCAAGAAATTGAAAATCTAGGTGAAAAAATAGGTTTTCTATGGAAATATAAATAATCAAAATTGGTTCAGAAGTAGAAAAACATTGAGAGATGAGTAGCCACAGAAGAAATGGAAAAGGCAGTTTTGAAGAGATGTACCTAACAAAAATGCTCATTTTTGCAAGTAAATATTACCAAATTTTCAAAGAATAAGGAGAAAAAAACACACCATGTTTCTGGGGTTGATTTGCCTGGGCCTGGGAGCTCCTGGGATGTGAGATTTTCAGCTTTAAAACTGTGAGCGCCTGGGACGAGTCTGTCACTTTACGTAGTTCCTGAGCTGTTCAGACAGATTGGCACGACTCACACGCCGGAGCGGGAGAGAGCCAGCCTCTGAGAGCTGTGGCCCAAGCTAAATATTTGCAAACCGAATCCAGCAGTTTATATAAAAAGAATTTGGAGAGAGGAGTAGATGAAAATGCTTTTAAGCCTCTGAAACATCTCTACTGGAAATGACGGGAAACATGGTGCTTCCCCCCCCCCCCCCCCCGAGGACACGACAGCTTTCCTTGCTATGACCACAGCTGCTTGGCCTGGCCCAGGAGGCCTCACAGAGACACCGAGACTGAAGGTGTGCACCACGGGAAAGGAAGACACACGACTGTACTCTCTGTGGAGAGTACCATTTAAAAATATATATATATATATATATTTAAAAGGCAGAGTTACAGAGAGAGAGGGAGAGACAGAGAGAGATCTTCCATCTGCTAGTTCACTCCCTAAATGGCCACAGTGGCCGGGGGCTGTGCCAGGTCAAAGCCAGGAGCCAGGAGCTTCATCCTGGTCTCCTCCCTGGGTGGCCGGGGCCCAGTCTTCGGGCCATCTTCTGCTGCTTTTTCCAGCTGCGTTAGCAAAGAGCTGGATCCGAGTGGAGCAGCCGGGACACAAACCAGCACCCATATGGGATGTTGGTGTCAAAGCCACTGGTTTAACCAGCTGTGCCACAATGCTGGCCCGGAGAGTGCTATCGTCTGTGATGCAAAGCCAAACGCTGATGAACCCACTGGAGACTGAATAAAAAGAATTCTGCCAGTTGGCTGCACTAAGAGCTCCTAATTACCAAATGTACCAAAATTGTACCAAAAGCAGAGTACATAGAGAACTCAGCTAATTCTGCCGAGTGCTTCCTAGTGGACAGTTCTGGGCCACCCAGTTATTAATATATTCTCCTCTTTGAACTTCAGGGTGACTGATTGTTCAGATTGTGGTATTGAACCTAGCTATTTAATTTTGGAGTTCCTTCCATCCAAAATAACTCTAAAATTTTTATTTATTCAGTTTTTGAAAATTTACTTAATTTATTGACTTAATTTATTTGAAAGACAAGGTGAGAGACAAAGAAATCTCCCATCTGCTGGTTCACTCCCTAAACGCCTGTGACAGTCAGGACCAGGCGAGGCTGAAGCCAGGACCTGGGAATCAGTCTGGGTCTCCCATGGAGGGGCAGGGACCTAATACTACAGCCAGCACTTGCTGCTTCCCAGGGTGTGCATTGGGAGGGGAGCCAGGACTCAAACCCAAGCCCTCTGATACAGCATATGGGCGTCCCAGCTGGTGTCTTAGCCACCGAGCCAATTTCTGCTCCTCGTTTGAATCTTTCACAAGATTGTGTAGGTCCTAGTATAGCTTAATCAATTCAAACAGAAAAAGAAGTATGATACAAAAATATGGAAGTACTGAGGGTTCAAATCCAGAGGTTTTGGGGCCGGTGCTGTGGCATAGCGGGTAAAGCTGCTACCTGCAGTGCCGGCATCCCATATGGGCGCCGGTTCTAGTCCTGGCTGCTCCTCTTCCAGTCCAGCTCTCTGCTATGGCCTGGGAAAGCAGTAGAAGGTGGCCCCAAAAATGTCAGAGTTACAGAGAGAGAGAGAGAGAGAGAGAGAGAGAGAGAGAGAATGGCTGCAACGGCTGGACTCATGCCAATCCGAAGCCAGGAGCTTCTGGGTGTCGCAGGCCATAGCAGAGAGCTGGATTGGAAGAGGAGCAGCAGGGACTAGAACCAGCGCCCGTATGGGATGCCAGCACTTCAGGCCAGGGCTTTAACCAGCTGCGCCACAGTGCCGGCATTCCAGCTGCTCCACTTCCGATCCAGCTCCGTGCTAAGCATCTGGGAAGGCAGAAGAAGATAACCCAAGTGCTTGGGTCTCTGTCACTCATGTGGGAGACCCGAATGGAGCTCCTGCCTTGGCCTGGCCCAGCCCTGGCTGTTGTGGCCTCTCGGGGAGTAAACCAGCAGAAGCATGATTAGTCTCACTGCCTTTCAAGTAAAATAAATAAATCTTTAAAAAATTTTCAAGAAAATCCATGCATAGTTTTTTCATCATATGCATTTTCCATAAATTTTTGCAATCCCTGTACTGACATTAGAATAATCACCGGAAGTTCCCAAGGTTACCACGCACATGTGTGAAGTATCTCCTATCTTTGTGAAGATGGAAAGTTTCATTCTATTTGTATTTTACCACAATTAAAAACAATAGTAGAAGCCGGCGCCCTGGCTCACTTGGTTAATCCTCTGCCTGTGGCACCGACATCCCATATGGGCGCCGGGTTCTAGTCCCGGTTGCTCCTCTTCCAGGCCAGCTCTCTGCTGTGGCCCGGGAAGGCAGTGGAGGATGGCCCAAGTGCTTGGGCCCTGCACCCGCATGGGAGACCAGGAGAAGCACCTGGCTCCTGGCTTTGGATCGGCGCAGCGCTGGATGTAGCGGCCATTTGGGAAGTGAACCAACAGAAGGAAGACCTTTCTCTCTGTCTCTCTCTCACTGTTTGTTACTCTGCCTGTCAAAACAACAACAACAACAACAACAAACCACACAATAGGAATAAGCCATTTAACAAACCACAGAGAAAGATTTCAGCAAACCGGGGCCTTTATCTCTAATGCCTGTGCCATCCATTTTTCTTTATTTTATAAAAATTTTTTGAAAAAAATTATTTATTTGAAAGGTAGAGTTACAGAGCAAGAGGGAGAGTTAGAGAGAGAGAGAGAGAGAGGTCTTCCATCCACTTGTTTACTCCCCAGGTGGCCACAATGACCAGAGCTGAGCTGAGCTGAAGCCAGGAGCCAGGAGCTTCTTCTGGGTCTCCTACATGAATGCAGGGGCCCAAGGACTTGGATCATCTTCCACTGCTTTCCCAGCCCATAGCGGAGAGCTGGATCGGAAGTGGAGCAGCCAGGACAAGAAACGGCGACCAAATGGGGAGCCGGTGCTGTAGGTGGAGGCTTTAGCCCACTATGCCACAGCACTGCCCCCATCAGTTTTTCTTTTATCTCTTGTTTTTAAGGGCAGGCTGTCTGCTCTCCCTGGTAGCATTTCGAGCTGTGCACTAGCCGTGGCTCTCAGTGCACTCCGTGGACTCTCCTGCTCACAGGTTCACGAGGGGCCTTTCTGGGGGGACAGCCTTGTGGTTCTCAGGGGCAGCGTCCTGCTCTTTCTCTGGGGCTCCCTGATCCGTGTCCTTCCCTGCTGGGATTCGGAAAACCGGGAGACGCCACACACAGGCCAAGTAACCCACAGAACAGCCCTGAGGTTGCTGCACAAGCACTGTCTCTGTTCAGGGACGCTGCCCTGCACCTGGCTACAGGGCAGACTAGTCCCCACCCCCACCCCCACATCCGCAGGGCTCCGTGGTTGCTGGAATCCTTTCTATAGACTGGCAAGTGTCGCACAGAGGCTACGCAACCCTCCCTGGAGGTTCACATCTTCTCTAGATGACTTAGGACACCCAACACAATGTACATGCTACGTAAATATACCTGCTTGACCATTTTGTTTAGGGGATAATGACAAAAATAAAAGACTTGTAGAGGCCCGGTGCAGCAGGTCAAGCTGCACCTGCGACACCGGCATCCCCTGTGAGCGCCAATTCGAGTGCTGGCTGTTTTGCTTCCAATCCAGCTCCTGGCGAATGCACCTGGGATAGCAGCGGAAGATGGCCCAAGTTCTTGAGCCCCTGCCACCCACCTGGGAGACCTGGATGGAGTGCCAGGCTCCTGGCTTCAGCCTGGCCCAGCTCTGGCCATTGTGGCCGTTTGGAGAGTGAAAAAAATTGTGTCTATACTAAACAAGTGCAAGTTGTTTTTTTTTCTTTTTTTTAAAGATTTATTTATTTGAAAGGCAGTGACAGGGTGGGAGTTAGGGGGAGAGAGAGAGATAGAAAGATCTTACATCCACTGGTTCACTCCCCAAATGGCTGGAATGGCTGGGGCCAGGCCAAGGCTGAAGCCAGGAGCCAGGAGCTTCACCTGGGTCTCCCGTGTGAGTGCAGCGGCCCAGGGACTTGGGCCATCCTCCGCTGCTCCAGTTCTCCTTCAAAGCAAGCTTTCCTCTCTGCTTGTCCACCCCCAGTTAGCAAAACATGGACTCAACGTTGTGCTGATCAGCCGGACACTGGAAAAACTGCAGGCCGTTGCCACAGAGATTGGTGAGTGACCCCCCAAATACGGGGACTGTTGGTGGGGCACATTACCAAGATGGTCCCCGTCCTGCCCGTTGATGTACCCAGCAGCCCCCACCAGCCCTCTGCAGCCGGGGGCCAGCCCTGCTGTGGGGAGCCTCCCCCCCCCACACAGGGATTGGCAGGATCTAAGGTGTTGCTCCAGCCCCTGTGGGTCCTGTCGGCCAGGCGAGGCAGGAAGAGAGTCAGGCACACATAGCCTGCTTTCTCCTTTGCTGTGGCGCCTTCGTCTCTAGAATCCGCCAGCCCTGCTCAGAGGCTCAGCTGCCCGATTGCTCTGCCACTCCCCTGAAAACCAGGAGCTGTATTTGGAATTTCAGTTCCCTAGGACAAGGCTCCACTCCTTGCAGGAGGGTGAGGGGCCATCACAGATTAAAAAAGAAGAAGAAGAAGAAGAAGAAGAATTGACCCAGGGCTGAGATGTATGGTTGCAAAGACTGTGCACTATACAATTCTGAGATGCTGCGCTTTTGTATCTGATGTGTTAGGATTGTGGTTTTTCTCTCTGAAGTGTCCCTAGTTAACAATGAGTGCAGTTGTTCTCTTGGGGGTGTTTCAATGTTAGTAATGTCCAGGTTAACAGTGGATAAACTCCTTAACCCAAAGGGATGAGTGTTGAATTATGAAGACTTGTGAAGACCTTTGCAGACTGTTTGGAGTCATCCCGGCTTCCGTGGGAGAGGTTTGGGTTAGGAGGCAGGTGCGCCGGATGTGGAAGGTTTGTGGCTGTGCAGGCACGGCTGGGAGGCCCGCTGCCCTTGAGCTGATTAATCTTGCTCTTGTACCGGGTCCTGATAGGAAAGAAACTGTGTCTAGGAAGCAGATATTCTTCGTTTTTTTTTCTCACAAGGCTACAATGTGCTTTTATCACCTCTTTGAAAAGCAAGGACATAGTATCTGAGCTGAGAGCATCCCCCAGCTCCAAGCCCAGCCTCACCAGGGCTTATCCCAGAAATGCGAGGTCTAACTCCGAGGCCAGAGCAGCATGGGGGCCTCTGATGCGGCTTTGGCCTTGGCCTGGGCAGCCTCACAGGGCACCGTGGAGAGAGCCCTGGACTTGGAGTCAGCCTAGCCTGAGTGCCCGGGCAAGTCATTTAGCCTCTTTGAGCCTGTTATCTCCTCCAGAAAGCGGGAATGACAGTGTCTACTTTACCCCTTTGTGGCTAAGGTGTCCATGTAGGGACACGAGAGTCACCCCCGCCCCCGCAGAGCCGAGCCGCAGAGCCGAGGCGGCATCCAGGAGACCTGGCATTTACAGCCCCAGTGAGCCCGCGCCAGCAGAGCCACCTGGAGGCCCTGCCTGTCTGGGGTGCAGCCTGGGCGTTTGCTTTTCTCCCAGGTGTCCCAGGGGTGCTGATGCTATAGTCTACGGACCCGACTTTGAGAAGGACTTTGCTCTGTTTTAAGGCCGGCACAGGACTCGCTGTTCACAGATCGATAGCGCCCCCTAGCACCGACTCAGTGCTACTGCTCATTTGTCGTCAGGGTAACTTAACTGGCTACTCTGGGCTGCACCAGGGCCTTCACGGCACGGGGACCACTGGGACCCCTGTCCATGACAATAACGCTTGTCTCCGATGCAGACAGGGCCACGGGGCGCAGCGTGAGGATCATACAGGCGGACTTTACCAAGGACGACATCTATGAGACTATTAAAGAAGAACTTCAAGGCTTAGAAATTGGCATTTTAGGTAAGTAATGCCTAGCTTGTAATGTAGCAGTGAAATAATGATTTTAGTGACACCTGGCCACTTCCTTGTAGCTTCCGCCTAACCCACAAATGTGTGTGTGTGTGTGTTTAATTAATTAATTTATTTGAAAGGCAGAGTTACAGAGAGGCAGAGGCAGAGAGAGGGGGGTCTTCCATCCACTGGTTCACTCCCCAAGTGGATGCAATGGCCAGAGCTGAGCTGATCCGAAGTCAGAAGCCAGGAGTCAGGAGCCAGGAGTTTCTTCCAGGTTTCCCAGGCAGGTGCAGGGGCCCAAGGACTTGGGCCATCCTCCACTGCTTTCCCAAGCCATAGCAGAGAGCTGGATCGGAAGTGGAGCAGCTGGGACTCGAACCGGTGCCCATATGGGATGCCAGCATTGCAGGCAGTGTGTTTACCCACTACGCCACAGCACCGGCCCCCCGGAAATAAGAATTTCTTAAAATTTGGTAGTAGAAGACGAGAGAGCATTTCGGTGCCTATCCAGAGGCGCACACGTGCAATGTCAAACCCAGGCTTGACCATACCTGCTGACTCATGGCAGCTCCTTAGGAAAACCTATATGCTTCGCCATGTTTTCAAAGTGCTGGGCCAGCTCTGATTTTTACTGGACGCCTCCTGTCTGTGGGGTCACTTTCCCCCGCCATCAGATCGGGTCTCTGCCAACAGCCTTGTGCGGGAGAATTTCTGCTCTCAGAAGAGCCTCGCACCTGTCCGTCTGACGCATGTGTGTTCTGCCCCTTTCTGCCAGTTAACAACGTGGGAATGCTGCCGAGCCTCCTCCCGAGGCGCTTCCTTAACACGCCCGATGAGATCCAGGTGAGCGCACTCTTCTGTGTCTGGTTTTCGCCCGCCCAGGTACTGGGCTCCCTGGCTGGGTGGTCTCTGGGGCTGGGGATGGAGTGACAGGAAGCCAGCACTCAGTATTGCACGGTGCGTGTCCTGAGGCCTCCAGCTCTCCCCGCCCTGACTCCTGGACACACCAGGGGGAACTGTTTTTCCTGAATCTGCAGGGCGAGGCCGCCTTGTCCCTGCCCCTTCTCACACATCAGTACTTCCCTGCCCACTGCCCTGAACTTCTGGGGCTCTGCCCTTTGCTTCGTGGAAGTGTGGTTCTGCCCAACAGATTCATCCTGCAGAGGCACAGGGAGGAGGCCAGCTCCTGGGCTCTCTCCGTTCTCGCGGGTTAATGGGATTTGTTCCAGAGCGTGGGAAGTGCGTGCGTGACACACTCTCCTTGGCTGGGGGATGACTCTCCTGGCTGCCACAGTTGGTCAAGAGGATATTTTTGATGCATTTCAGTCTTTTTAATATAAAGACTGATTTCTATATTTGAAGGTTACAGAGAGACACACACACACACACACACACACACATACACATAATCTTCCATCTGTTGGTTCACTCCCCTGATGGCTGCAATGGACAGAGCTGGGCCAGGTGGAAGCCAGGAGCCAGGAGCTTCTTCCAGGTCTCCCACACGGGTGCAGGGGCCCAAGGACTTGGGCCATCCTCCACTGCTTTCCCTGGTGCAATGGTCTGAGCTGGCTACCAGCTCCCCAGGTGTTTCAGCCCTGGGCTGACTGCGCTGGCATGAGATGACAGGCTGCTTGGACATTGCTGCACATCCTTGCCGAGCTCCTGTCTGGACCACATGTTGAAACCCATGGTCTCTATTTTCCACTTGTGGTTCTGGCACACGGAGCCAGCCGTCTCTCTCTCTCTCTCTCTCCCTCTCCCCCTCTCTCCCTCTCTCCCTCTCTCCTTCTCTCCCTCTCCCTCTCTTTCTCTGCTCGTGTCTGTTCTCATGTCTGTCCCTCTGTCTCTCTGTGTTTATCTGGGGTGACTGTGGTCTCTCCACCTGGTCTCCACAGCGCGTAGCCTCTACCTGGATCACACAACCGCCCACCTGTCTCTTTTCCATGCTGTCGTCTCCTAGGGCCTCACGGGCTGACCCTTCTCCTTCTAGCTGGGAATGGGGCACATGTCTGCTCCTCTGCCTGTGATGGGGTTCCGCCCTGATAAACCCACTGTAAACTGAAGAAGCCTAAGTCGGAAGTGCGCTTATTCCACCTAACCTAATGAACTGCATAGCTTAGCAGCCTGGCACCCTGTAGAGTCCCATGGTGTCCCCTTGTGACCGTGGGGCTGGCTGGGGGGCTGCCCTCGCTGCCCCTGCCTTGCATGGTTGGGGAGGACCAGACCACATAGCACTAGCCCAGGGAAAATCAAAATTCAGAGTCAGATGTATGGTTTCTACTGCGTGTGTATCATTTTTACACTGTCGTAAAGTTAAAAAAAATCGTTAAGGAGTACTGTTTCATCCAGTACTACATGTCTCTGCCTTTGAAAACCTGTCTCAATTCCTCCCTGAATTTGCAAGGAAAGGCTTTTTATTTGAAAGATTTATGTATTTATTTGAAAGGGAGAGGGAGAGGAAGGCAGAGAGAGAGAGAGAGAGAGAGAGAGAGAGCGAGCTTGCATCGTTTGGTTCAGTGTCTGCCACAGCTGGAACTGAGCCAGGAGCTTCATCTACGTCCCTCACATGTGTGGCAGGGGCCTAAGCACTTTCCTAGGCCATTAGCAGGGAGCTGGATCAGAAGTGGAGCAGCCGGGACACCAACTGGCACCCATATGGGATGCTGGTGTCACAGGTGATGGCCTCAGCTACTATGCCACAACACTGGCCCCAAGGAGACTCTTAATAGATTTTTATTCAAGACCATATGTGTATAGACCCATAGAATGGATGTCGGAGGTTTGCCAATTCTTGTGCATACCTGCAGAAGCTCAATTTGGTCCCTAATTCGCAGGGTAAGTGGGGTTGGAACTGCTTAGACATGCACATTTGCCACTTTACAGTTCTCCAGCACTGACTGCTTCCCAAGAGAGTTTCCCTAACGATCGGGCTGACTTGTGTTGTCATTCTTTATCACAGGGCCTCATCCATTGTAACATCACTTCAGTTGTCAAGGTAAGTGAGGGGAACATAGTAGTTGGTGGCATCTAGTGACTACAGAATTGTCCCCTCCCATTGTAGAAGCAGATCCCCGGGAACTGACCTGCATTTGATTGAGAGGCCGTGCTGTGGTCGTTTCATTGTCTCATCAAGAATACAGGGTTGTGGATTCATTCTCCCTAGGGCCCGAGCCCTGTTTCTAGATTCAACTTTGTCATCTGTTGGAATATATTAGGACAGATGCTGAAACTTATTCAGGATTCTAAGGCAACATTTAAAAAAAAATACAATACCTACCTTTAAAAATTATTTATTTGAAAGGCAGAGAGAGACAGAGATCATCCATCTGCTGTTTCCCCAAATGGCTACAATGGCAGGGCGTGGGTGAGCTGGAGTCAGCAGCCTAGAACTCCATCAGGTCTCCCATGTTGGGGGTAGGGGCATAAGCACTTAGGCCGTCCTCGGAAGCTTTCCCAGGCACATTAGCAGGGAGCTGGATTGGAAGTGGAGCAGCCGGGACTCGAACCAGCACCCATGTGGGATGCTGGCCTCGCAGCTGGCAGCTTAACCCGCCATGCCACAACAACAACCCTTAATACCTAACTTTAATTCTAGTCTTTGTGAGTGGAGGAAAGTTCACTGCTGGGGAAACAGAAAGAAGGCGTGGCTTCGCTTTTCGGTACTTTGGTCGTTCCGTCCATCTTTGTTGAATTGAAGCTCAAGTTCAACCTGTGTTCTGACCTCAGGTCAGCTGCTAGTTAGCAGGACAGCACCAAGTTAAGTTATTTACCTGCCTTGACCTCCAGATCCTGCCCCAGTTCTGAAGTGCTGGGCCGAGCCACGTCTCAGGTCCTATGCAGCATGCAGGCTCTTTGGTTCGTCTCCGCCGCATGAGCTCTCTCAGCATGACTCCCACAGAGCTGTCCCACACTGTGCCTTTGCCTGAAGAAGAAAAAGACACTTCCTCTGGGCAGATAATTTAGACCAAGCTTCTGCTTAAAATGGAGACAGCCCCATGCTGCACGCCTTAATGGACAGACGATGTCTCTTCCCTTCCTCCGAGGGTATAGAACCCGTCGCCTCCCCCAGGGAGTCGGCAGCCTTGCTGGTGTCACAGCAAGAGAAAGTGCTGGACGGTGGAGCTCTTACCACGCTTTCCCGCTGCCCTCAGGCTCACCCTCTCGTCCTTGCCCTTGAGAGGGAAGTGAGCGTTCCCTGCCCACCTTGGGTCCTGGCCAGACGCGAGTGTTGCCAGCGCAGCTGTCCCCGAGTGTCGGCAACCTCCACGGCCACTCTGGAGGTTAAGTTCTCGTCCCCGCTTCCCCGATTCCCCGCTAGCCCATTCCTTTGGCAGGGCTTAACTTTGGCCTTGTCTTTCAGATGACACAGCTAATTCTGAAACACATGGGGTCAAGGTAAGGTCTTTGAAAAAGTGCAGAGCTACTGTGGCTTCCCCGGGGACGCTGCTTTGTTTCGGGCTGCTGCTGAAACAAATGATAAAAGCTGGGATGAAGGGACACAGAGATGATGGGGAAAAGCCACGTCATGGGCCAGGGCCAGCTCTGCACACAGGTGTGCCTGTGGGAAAGTCAAGTGTGGCACATACTGGAGGAAGACAGACCAGCAGTTTTGCACACATTGCATTAAATAAAGTCAATGCATGTGGAGCAGAAAACCTCAGAAGCCGGCCTGGGACCAAGACCATGTCTGTGTTGTTATTATTTTGCTTAGAATGAATACAACAATTTAATGGTGAAAATTGCCACCCCCTCAAGTTCTGCATTTATCCCGTGTTTGCATCACCCCCCTTATGACACCCACGAGGGAGCTGGTTTTTCTCAGGGGGTCCTCATCAAGAGCAGATGGTCTATAGCCTCATCGTCCCTGGAGGAAGGAGGAGCTTGGCTTGGTTTTCTAATCCCCACCAGGTTGGGAAGGATCGAGGATATTGAATTCCCAAAAGGCCAGTAAGTCCTGGAGACTTGGCCAGGGGAGTCCGAGTGAGCAAGTTCCAGCCCAGATGGGGTTCCACCCTGTGGCGTCCGCCCCACCCAGCCTAGGGCACCCCCTGCCAGAAGATAGGAAGAGGGTCCCCTCCTTACCCCTTGAATCCCATCAGGGCCCGGCTGGTCATCTGCATTCCGCCCCAGAGACCTCTTAGGTAGCAGAGGCTCCGCCTCCAGCGACAAGCCCTGGATGTCACCTGTGGGTGGGAGGCAGGGGCGGTGCCACTCACAGCCCTGAGCGCGGGACTGGAGGGTTCCTGTGGACCGCGGGCCTCCTGGGTGTTCTTTGTGCGCAAGCGCAGGCAGCGGAGCAGTGGACACTTGGCTTGCTTTCCAGGCGCAGAGGCCTCATCCTGAACATCTCCTCCGGGGCAGCCCTCTTTCCTTGGCCTCTGTACTCACTGTACTCGGCTTCCAAGGTGAGTGATGCCGCCCAGCTCTCTGCCTGGCTCTCCGAGCCTGGCAGGCTGATGGAGAGGTTTGTCTGCAGGCTTTGGGAAGACCCCTCATAGGCACAGATTTCAAAAAGTGTTGTGTGGGGCCAGTGCTGTGGCATAGCTGATAAAGCTATGCCTGCAGTGCTGGCATCCCATATGGGCGCCGGTTCGAGTCCTGGCTGCTCCACTTCATATCCAGCTCTCTGCACCCATGTGGGAAACCTAGAAGAAGCTCCTGGGTTCGTATCAGTGCAGCTCCGGCCATTACAGCCAATTAGGGAGTGAACCAGCGGATGGAAGATCTCTCTCTCTCTCTGCCTCTCCTTCTCTCTCTGTGTAACTCTTTCAATAAATAAATAAATAAATCTTTTAGAAAACAACAAAAGTGTTGTGCACCAAAAGAAGAGAGAGAGAAAGAGAGAGAGATCTTTCATCTGCTGGTTCACTCCCCAAATGGTTGCAACAGCCCAGACTGGGCCAGACCAAAGCCAGGAGCCACAGGATGCAAGGGTCCAAGGAGTTGGGCCATCTTTTGCTGCAGAGAGCTGGATCGGAAGTGCAGAAGCCTGGACTTGAACTGGTGCCCATACAGGACACCAGCATTGCAGGCAACAGCTTAACTCGCTGTCACTATACCACAATGCCAGCCCCCAGCTCCATGTATGATTCCAGCTGATGTGTGCACTGGGAGGCAGCAGGTGTTGGCTCAAGTACTTGGATCTCTGCCTCACACATGGGAGTCTTAGATTGAGGTGTTTTTTTTTTGTTTGTTTGTTTGTTTGGTTTTTTTTTTTTTTTTTTTTTTTTTTTTTTTTTTTTTTTTTTTTGATTTATCTATTTGAAAGGCTGAGTTACAGAGAAGCAGAAGCAGAGAGAGAAAGGTCTTCCATCTGCTGGTTCACTCCCCAGTTGGCCTCAACAGCTGGAGCTGCACCAATCCGAAGCCAGGAGCCAGGAGCTTCTTTCAGGTCTCCCATGTGGGTGCAGGGGCCCAAGAACTTGGGCCATCTTCTACTGCTTTCCCAGGCCACAGCAGAGAGCTGGATCAGAAGTGGAACAGCCGGGACTCCAACAGGCGCCCATATGGGATGCCGGCACTACAGGCAGTGGCTTTACCCACTAAGCCACAGTGCCGGCTCTTAACTCAGGCTGGCCAGGTTGTCATGGGCATTTGTGGGGAGTGAACCAGTCTGTCTCTGTGTGTCTCTTTGCCTTTCAAATAAATGGAAACTAAAAATAAGTGGGAGGGGCGCCGGATTCTGTCCCGGTTGCCCCTCTTCCAGGCCAGCTCTCTGCTGTGGCCAGGGAGTGCAGTGGAGGATGGCCCAAGTGCTTGGGCCCTGCACCCCATGGGAGACCAGGAGAAGCACCTGGCTCCTGCCATCCGATCAGTGCGGTACGCCGGCCGCGGCGGCCATTGGAGGGTGAACCAACGGCAAAGGAAGACCTTTCTCTCTGTCTCTCTCTCTCACTGTCCACTCTGCCTGTCAAAAAATTAAAAAAAAAAATAATAAAAATAAAAAAGAAAATTAAAAAAAGAGATACTTGACAATAAGAAATTGTACATATTCACGGTGTACCATACGATGATTCTGATAGATGTGCACACCATGGAAGGATTAAGTCTAGCTAATTAACATAGACGAGAACTCGCATGGTTGTCATGCTCTCTGGTGAGAACGGTCAAGACCTCTCTCCTAGGCTGGGTGTTTGGCCCAGCAGATAAGGTGTTTCACCTGCGTCCTGAGTCCGAGTGCCTGGGGGTAACGCCTGCCTCTGCTTCCTGACTCCTGCTTCCTTCTTGCACACCATGGAAGGCAGCACGGATGGCTCAAGTACTTGGGTTCCTGCCACCCACATGGGAGACCTGGATTGCATTCTCAGCTCCCAGCTTCAGCCCACCCCAGCTCCGGAACTTCTTCATCCTACACAATTGAAGCTTTGAACGCTTTGTCTCACCGCAGGCAGTGCCCTTTGAAATCTGAGCCAGCCAGCTGTGCCAGGGCAAGCGGGCTCTGAGGCCTGATGGGTTTCTCTTTCTCACTCTAGGCTTTTGTGTGTACGTTTTCCAAGGCCCTGCAAGCTGAGTATAAAGAGAAGGGAGTCATTATCCAGGTGAGTTGCTCAGCGGTGAGTCCTTGGGGGTGAGAACTCTGGATTGCAATGGGGCTGGAGCCACTGTCCCCTGCAGGACTGGTCATGCATGTGCAGCCAGCAGGTGGAGTCCTTGGGGCTTCCTGTGACCCTGGCTGGCGCAGTTGCAGCCCCTGTGGGCCTCCTTGCTCCCATGGCTTCTGCTGCCTTCCCTGTACCCTGGGTGCTAGAAGAGGACTTGGGGAAGAGGCTGGTTTCTCAGAAATGCTGTGGGCCCGTCTGCTACCCAGTGCTGTATCAGGATGGAGATTGAGGTCTTGTCCACCCGTCTTCTCCTCCCTGACCTAAGTCAGAGACAGGCTTATGTGGGAGGAGCTATGGAGAAGGAACACAACATGGGCACTTGGCCCATGTTGGAATTGGTGGGGGAGGGAGGGGACCCTGAGCCTGGAAGGGGTCTCCCGTGGGGGACCGTTGACCTGAGATGGGCCACAGGGCCCCCCACACTCTGGTTCTAGGGCTTAAGTTCGGTGGATCTCCGTTTTCCCATCCATAGAAGGAGGTTATTACACCTGCTTACTTCTCTGGTTATCCTGGAGAGCTAATGAATCAGTGTTCGAGTTTAAACCATGTTTATGGAGCCCCTGTTTTGCACTTGGAAGTGTTTTGTCAACCAAAGCTTCATTCCTGAAGTAGGAATGAAAATACTTGCTGTTATGTCTCCCTCTGGAAGCTGGGGCTGAGAAAGCACCTTCCTTTTATTGCTCCAAGAGTCCTGCTTTGAGGTCCCTGGAAGAAAAGTGTTAATTGCAGCATTAATTGCCTTTAGAACTAACTCAGTTGGGTCGGTCCACTCAGTTATGAAAACTGGATTCAGTTATGAAACACTGCCATTGCAAATGCGATGGGAAGAAAACAAAACCAAGGAAATGACTGGATTTTTTTCTTTCTAGAACTCTATTGTGGTCCTCACACCAGGCCACAGTGTGGCTAAGCCCTGGTGGGGACCTGGGGCTGGAATCTCAGGGCAGGGCATGGCTGGTTGGACAAGACAGATAGTGCAGTGCCCCCGCCCCCGGCCCTGGCTCCTCGTCTGGAACGTGGGACTCCAAAGAGCTTCTGGCTGCTCCAGCCTTAGCTATACGTGTTAGAAGTCAGCTTCTGAGACAGGGTTGCCAGATTAAACACAGGATATGCAGCTAGATTTGAATTTCAGGTGAATAGGAAGAATGTTTTGGTGTAAGTACGTTGGGATCCATGCCATACTTGGGACATAATTATGCTGAAATATTTTTTTGCATCTTCTCTATATGAATTTCACCTTCTTCCAAAATATTTATTCATTTATGTGAAAGGTAGAGTTACAAAGAGAGAGAGAGACAGAGACAGAGAGACAGAGATCTTCCATCCACTGGTTCAGTTTCCAAATGCCCACAATGGCCAGGGCGAGACCAGAAACCTGGAACTCCATCCGATCTCCCACATTGGTGGCAGGGGCCCCAGCACTTGGGCCATCTTCCATTGCCTTCCCAGGTGCTTTAGCAGGGAGCTGGATTGGAAGTAAAACAGCTAGGACTCGAACTGGTGCTTATATGGGATGCCAGCATTGCGGGCAGTGGCTTAACCTGCTGTACCCCAATATTAGCCCCCGAACTTCATCTTTAAATGAGTGTTCTATATCTTTGTTAGTGAAGTCTGGCAGCCATGTTGAGAGCTAGCTCATGACCCCTGAGTCACCCTGTGTGTCTCGGAGGGCATCTGAGCCACCCGTTGTTGTGTGGTTGAGGCTTCATCCCGAGAGCCCGTGCCTTCTGGTCCCCAGGTCTGTACCTTTTATCATGGAGGATCCCTTAGCTGTTTCCAAGAGGGAAAGGTGGGAATAGGTACGGGCTTCTCAGAGCCTCCTCTGCTTGCCGCTGTGTTATGTGGTCTTTGGTTTTCCCGTGGAAGGTGCTGACGCCCTATGCTGTCTCGACCTCAATGACAAAGCATCTAAACACCAACGTCATCACCAAGACGGCGGATGAGTTTGTGAAAGAATCGCTGAATTACATCACGATTGGAGATGAAACCTGCGGCTGCCTTGCCCATGAAATCCTGGTAACTGATAACTTCTTGTTTCCTTAAAGCCCCTGGAGGCAGGGTGTGCAGGTGGCCCTAGCCGTGCTGGGCTCGCTCCTCCTTGCTACTGGGCAACTCAGTGACCAGCTGTGGCCATGCTGGCCAGCGAGAAGAAAGATGTGGCGAGGGTGTGAGGCTGGATTCTCTGCCCATAATAACCCTCAAGGGGGCAGATCTCACCCTTAGCCACCTCCCTTCTCCCCGCAGAAAGCAGAATGGCTCCTAGGAGCCCTGGGACGGGGAGACCAAGGGACAGGGATCGCTGTCTTTTTTTTTTTTTTTTTTGGACAGGCAGAATGGACAGTGAGAGAGAGAGAGACAGAGAGAAAGGTTTTCCTTTTCTGTTGGTTCACCCCTCAATGGCCACTGCGGCCGGCGCACCGCGCGCTGATTCGAAGCCAGGAGCCAGGTGCTTCTCCTGGTCTCCCATGCGGGTGCAGGGCCCAAGCACTTGGGCCATCCTCCACTGCCTTCCCGGGCCACAGCAGAGAGCTGGCCTGGAAGAGGAGCAACCAGGACAGAATCCAGCGCCCCGACTGGGTCTAGAACATAGTGTACTGGTGCCGCAGGTGGAGGATTAGCCTATTGAGCCGCGGCGCTGGCCAGTTGCCTTCTTGCTTGGTCCTCTGCCTGACTGAATGCTCACCTCTCAGCCCTGTGAGAAAAGAAAAGTCACTTTGATTTGTAGCAGCTGCTGCTTCCCGGGGTGTAAATACTCCTGCCACAGCCCATTTTAAGCTGCCAACCTGAAGTCCCTGCATGGAGGAGTTGAGTAGGCCTTCCCATCATTGGCTCTCATGAGCAGGTGTGAGGGCACTGCAAAAAACGAATGAAAAACAGAAAGATACATTTATTTTGTTGCAAAGCAAGATGTACTTGTTTATTCCTTTGAGAGAGAAAAAGAGGGCGTGCACTCCCATCACAGGGCTCACTCTTGAATGCCCACAGCAGCTGGGGTTGAGGCTGTGCCAAAGCCAGGAGCTGAGAACTCAATCCAGGTCTACCACATGGGTGGCAGGCATCCCGTTGCCTGAGCCATCATTGCCACATCCCAGGGTCTTCATTAGCAGGAATCAGGAGTCCGGAGCCAGAGCGTGTTTTGAACCCAGGCTCTCTGATATAGGATATGTGTATTCTAGCTGGTGACGTGCCCGCTAGGCTAAAAGCCCGTCTCCCATATACCTTTTGGAGTTCTGTTGTACAAGCCTGCTTCAGCGAACCACACACTCCATCCAATGTGGAAATAAGGTTTGGTGGCACAGGGTGCAAGGAGTTCTCAACGTTCCTGGGATGCTTTGAAAAACACCCACAGATATCAACAAGGGCAAACTGCAGCACAACATGCTAAGGATGGAGCACACACAGTGTCAAGATCTGTTTGCAGCCCCACTGAGGAATTTTTTTTTGTAAGATTTATTCATTGATTTGAAAGGCAGAGTGATGGAGCAAGAGCAAATGAGCCACTGAATGAGTTAGAGATCGCCCATCTGCTGGTTCACTCCCTAGATGGCTGCGACAGCCAGAGTTGGGCCAGTCTGGAGTCAGGAGTCAGGACCTCCATCCTGGTCTCCCCTATGGTGGCAGAGTCCCAAGCACTTGGACCATCCTCTTCTGCCTTCCCAGGCACATTAGCAGGAAGCTGGATTGGAAGCAGAGCAGCCTGGACTTGAACTGGTGCTCTGATATGGGATGCTGACATTGCAAGTGGCAGCTTAACCTGCCGCACCACAATGCTGCTCCCAATCTTGACCGATCCATCGTATGTCGACTTTCTTCTCTGCCTCGTAGGTTTTTCTGTTGTGGGAATTGGGCCACGGTCTATGTCTCTGTCTCTCTGCCCAATGCTAAAATAATTCATGGCTCCATATACTAAGTTCTCCAAAATGATTCATTTATCTCCTAAAACTTACAAAGACTCTGGCAAGAGACACCAATTGTCCCTGCATAATTCTAACTCCTTGTTGTTTTTAACCATGGAACCTTAACAACGTGCAACATCACCGATTTAACTCACGTTGCAAAATGGACATCCAGAAAGTATAGAAGGTCTTTGCTTTGGATGTTGCTGGTCTGATCTCTCTCCCAATCCCCCCTTGCTGCAGGAAGATGAAGGGAAATCCAGTGAGCTTGAAGTTAGTTTGATCTGCTCACCCAAACTGGACATCAAGTCTGTTATGGAGGGGAAGTGTTCGGTGCTTCTGGTGCCCACCTCACTTGCTAAGGGGAGGAGAGTCCTCGTGCCCCATGTTGGTCCTTCCGTGGTGTTGGCTGGTGTCCAGGGGCTGCTCACCTTGCTCAGATGCAGGTCTGGGGGCGGGGCGTGGGCGTGATGGACATTTCTGTCCTGTGGCCTGACCAGTGGATCCCCTGCCAGCGCCTGCCTTGCATTCATTCATTGTCCTGGATCTCTGCACATCCCGCCCAGCTCCAGGTTTGCAGTCCATCTACAGCTTGGCTTCACAGAGCCCCTTCAGCTGTCTCCCCCTGATCAGCACCACGGTGGGCCTGGGCAAAGCTGGGAACACTGAATCTCAACACCTGTCTCGCTGTGCCGAGATGGTTTTCTGTGGCTGCACCCGGAAAGAGAGAAGGCCGTCACCCCACCTTTGCCCTGGGTGCCACCCTTACTTATCACACATTTCCATCCATCACCCCAGTGCCCTAGCCCCCGGCATAAGCCCAGAGGCCACACATCAGAGGGTGCATCTGTCCACTTCTCCCTCTTTCTCTCGACGTTGCAGCCTGTCCCTCTCCAGGCTTCATCACGTCCAGTGGGTTTGACACCCCCCATCCGGCTCCTGGAGATCCCCATGACCTCACTCCTCCAGGATGCTAACACCTTAAATGGCATCCGTCAGAATACAGAAACAACAGCCGGGTTTGCAGTTGCTGCACAACCCAGTTCTGGATGTCAGAAGTGCCATGATTCCCTGGGCTTTCCCTTTTGATCTCCTAGGTAACAGATTCTAATCTCTTTAAGTAAACAGATGCTAAGGACAGACTAGGAAAAAGAGGTTGTGTGCCCTGTAAAGTAGGAGGAAAACACATGAAAATACACCGATCATTAAAATTCCTTTGGAAAATCATTGAATCTGAAGTGATTGGGTAATCAAGCAGAGTCAGCTGGCGACTTCCCTGGGGGGCTGGAGGGGGTGTTATACCCAGGGGTGTTGTACCCTTCTCCAGCCTGGAGATGGACAGGCTGTGACCCGAGAGCTCTGAGATTACAAAGAGGGAGGCAAACACTGCCCGTTCTCCACCCCGCAGGAGGTCTAGGCCTGCAGCTCTGTCTGCAGAGTCGTGCCATCCGCAGAGGCTGCCTTCAAAAACTTTGTGGAAATGGAATTAAAAGATAAGCTTAGGCCAGTGCCACGGCTCAATAGGCTAATCCTCCACCTTGCGGCGCCGGCACACCGGGTTCTAGTCCCGGTTGGGCCGCCGGATTCTGTCCAGTTGCCCCTCTTCCAGGCCAGCTCTCTGCTGTGGCCCAGGAGTGCAGTGGAGGATGGCCCAAGTGCTTGGGCCCTGCACCCACATGGGAGACCAGGAGAAGCACCTGGCTCCTGGCTTTGGATCAGTGCGGTGCGCCGGCCGCAGCGGCCATTGAGGGGTGAACCAACAGAAAAGGAAAACTCTCTCTGTCTCTCTCACTGTCCACTCTGCCTGTCAAAATAAATAAATAAATAAATAAAAATAAAAAATAAAGAATTCTTTAGAAAAAAGATAAGCTTATTCTCTCACAAAAACATTTGAAACCCAATCATACAAGGGGACTTCTAAAAGCTCATGGAAGATATGTAGTGTGAAAAAAAAAACTATGCATAGATTTCATCTTTTTTTTTTTTGTACCAAGATCAACTTACATGAACTTCTGTGAACTTTTTTTGCAGTACCCTTGTACTTGTTACCTTGCTTAATTGTCTTAAAATATTTTTAAAATTTCTTTTACTTGTTTGAAAGAGAGAGAGAGAGAGGAGAATGAGAATGAGTCTTCCGTCTGCTGGTTCACTCCCCAGATGGCTGCAATGGCCAGGGCTGGGCTATGCTGAAGCCAGGAACCAGGAGCTTCCTCTGGGTCTCCCACGTGGCTGCAGGGGCCCAAGCACTGAGCCATCCTCTGCTGCTTTCCCAGGCCATTAGCAGGAAGCTGGGTGGGAAGTGGAGCAGCTGGAACTTGCCTCAAACCGGCGCTCACGTGGGATGCTGGTGCTGCAGGCGGCAGCTTTACCAGCTACGCCACAACGCCGCCCCCGTCCTGAAATCTTGTATGATAGGTCTTATTGTCCCCTCTTTACAGCTGAGGGAAGCAAAGTTCAGACCTGGAGCAGCCGTCCCCTGGCTGCCCAGATGGTGTTGGTAAAGCCAGGATTTGGCTTTTTTTCTGATGCCAGAGCTTTTCCTGCTTCCTTCTACGTGGTCCCTCTAGGTTGGGATAGAGATGGAGATGCAAGGGGACCTACGGAACCTTGCCGAGGGGCCTGGGATTTTAGTTTATTTTCTTTATGGCTGGCCTCACTAAGCCCAAACAATCAACTCAAGACAGAGCTATCCGAAGGACCGGAATTTGCTGTGAGATTACAAAAATAAAAAGCGCTGATGGAGGGAAAATGTTCTTGGAGAAGGCGTGTTGCTTCATGGACTTGGCTGGTAGAAGGGAGGGTTCAGCTTTTGTTCCCTGAGCCTGTGCCCTGTCTTGAAGGAGCTCAAGGATCAGAGAGACTGAGCTGCCGGAAGGAATGTGAACCCCTCCTGAGCGGTTCCTGTTGGACGTGGGTCCACATTCTGTTGTTCTGCATGGAGCAGGTGGATTGAGGAATGTCGGGTTAGCAAGATCATGCCGTGGGCAGAGTAAGGGCTTCTGGGGACCTGCACCTCCCTGTGGGGCTCAGGTGTGACGCGAGGGCTGGAGATTTCCCAAGGCCTGTGCCTGCAGCACGAAATGCGTTCCACGGGGCAGCGCTGTGCTTGCTGGCAGCTCCCCCTCTTTCTAAAAGCCAGGACCCCGTGTTGATAACCTACAGCTTTGTGACTTTCACGCCCACAGTGCTTAGCACCCACTCTGCCACAGGCCTGGTGCCGGCTGGTGGGAACCTTTCTGACGTTCTCCTGGAATCTTATTTTGATGGAGCCTTGGTAGAAAGAGCAGGAAGACAGCAGGAGACCAGCACCAGGATAAGCAAGAGCTCCAAGTCCCGATAGATGTCGGCCTAGGTAGGGTTCTTTAGTTTAGAATCTCCTTAGGGTTTCTCTTACCAGGGGTCCAAAGGTGTGATTGCTTTGGCGTCTACAGAAACTTTGTTGAGAAAAGTGTAGCAAGGACTTAAAAAGATCTGGGACTTTAATAGTCAGAAAGGGGCCAGCGCTGTGGGGTAGTGGGTAAAGCCCCTGCCTGGCATGCTGGCATCCCATATGGGCACAGGTTCAAGTCCTGGCTGCTCCACTTCCCATCCAGCTCTCTGCTATAGCCTGGGAAAGCAGTAAAAGATGGCCCAAGTTCTTGGGCCCCTGCACCTGCTTTGGAGACCTGGAAGAAGCTCCTGGCTCCTGGCTTCAGATTAGTGTAGCTCCAGCCATTACGGCCATCTGGGGAATGAACCAGCGGAAGGAAGACCTCTCTCTCTCTAACTCTGCCTTTCAAATAAATAAATGAAGCATTATTAAAAAATAAAAAAATATCTATGTATATGTTAGGGCAATTTTGTAACTTTGACAATCAGCAGTGAGTGCTCACCTACACTGACAAGATTTTGAATGTGGTGAGAGGCACCCAGGTAACCCAAGCACAGAGCCTGTATGCTGAATTTTCATCCTCCCTGCCTCTTCTGGAAGACTACCTACAGAGACCTTCTGGAACATTCCTTCATTCCTTTGTCCCATACGGCTTGGCTGGGCCCCATCTCCTCCATGGAGGTCTTTGGGTGCCCCAGGCCAGCTGCCTGAAGTGTGCCCCACGCATGCGGTCATGAGCGTGGACACAGCAGGCTCGGGTCTTTCTGGGTGGCCACCTCGTTGATGGCAGCCGGCTCTCCTCCTTCTCGCCACCCGGAGTGGAAGAAAATGTTGTGAATGACCACGAGTAAACCGCGGTGTCTGAGCTGTGACGTCCTCGTCCTTGTCACTGGCCTTTCTCACGAATCCTTCTCTTGTTCCAGGCGGGCTTTCTGAGCCTGATCCCGGCGTGGGCCTTCTACAGCAGCTGGTGCCAGAGGCTGCTCCTGACGTACTACGCGGATTACCTGAAGCAGAATGCCAGGGTCAGCTAGGCCGGCCGTGGGCGCCGGGGCTGTGCCGCTCCTCCACACCTGCGCTGGCCAAAGGGGACCAGAGAGGCGGGGCAGCCCCTTGGCACCCTGCAAGGAGCAGGAATGACGGCGCCCAAACCCTGGGCCTAGAATTTACTTTTTTTTTTTTTTTTTTTGGCCACTTCACTCAAATCTAAAGATCTTTGGAAAGGCGTGGTGTACAAACACGTGTTGTGTAGTGGGGTTAAGGGGTTTATTGTGAAGCGATGAGTGTGCCTGTGGGGAGAATTGAAAGTTTTCACAGTGAGTTTATTAAATAAATGTGGTGCAAAGAAATCTTTCATTCTTGGGGGTCTCAAGAATGATTGTGCCTGGTGGGCTATTTGTAGAGCCTTGTGTAAAAGTCAAAGCTGGAACCAGGATGTGGGATTAGTAACATTATTAAGACTTCTATGGGGGCCACGCTGTGGTATAGCAGGTTAAGCTGCCACCTGCAGTGCCAACATCCCATATGGGCACAGGTTCGAGTTTTGGCTGCTCCACTTCCGACCCAGCTCTCTGCTATGGCCTGGGAAAGCAGCAGAAGATGGCCCAAGTCCTTGGGCCCGTGCACCCATGTGGGAGATCTGGAAGAAGCTCCTGGCTCCTGGCTTGGGATTGGTGCAGCTCTTGCCGTGGCTGCCATTTGGGGAGTGAACCAGCGGATGGAAGACCCCTCTCTCTCTCTCTCTGCCTCTCGTCTCCCTGTGTAACTCTTTTAAATAAATAAATCTAAAAAAAAAAAAAAAAAAAAAAACACGCCGGGAAAAGGAGCAGGAAGCAGTCTCCGTGTGTCTCTAGGCCAAGATACAGGTCTGACATCTCTGAGTGTGGTCAGTGGCAAAAAAAAAAAAAAAAACAAAAAAAAAAAAACAAAAAAAACAAAAAACAAAAAGCAAACAAACAAACAAACAAAAAAAAACCACCTCTCCCTCCACACTCCACCTCTTTTTATCCAACCCACAAACCTTAACTATACAGTTTGGGCAAACAGACACGGGTGCTTGATCCATAACCCTAGCGAGAGAGCAAACACCTCCCTGATGCTCTTCCACTATAGACTGACTTTACCCCATGCTGGAATTTCGTGTGGATGAGGTCATGCAGTCTGGCCTGCTTCTGTGTCTGGCTTCTTTTACCCGGTACAGTGTCTGTGAGCTGCATCCCCCTGGGCACCCATTCTTTGTCATTTCCACTGCAGTCCTGGGCAGGAGGAATACTGTACACTCTCCTCTGGGTCCTCCCCAGTTTTTCCATGTTGGTTTATGGTGAAGAAGGTTGCTGTGGACACAGTTGCCTAAGTAGTTTTGGGGACATATGTTTTCACTTCTGTTGGGTTTCTACCCAGGAGTGGATTTGCTGGGTCAAAGGGCTGTTGTATTAAACATTTTATTTTAACCTAAAACACATAAAAGTATATTTCTTTGCCAATCTTTTGATGTAGAGCCAAGCCAGTCCTTTCCCTTAGCTGTGGTCCACTGATTGGAACTGCAGCTTTTCTTTCCACATAAATCATACCCACACAGCGCACCAACTATAGGATGGATTCTTGACTTCCTCCGAGAGAAATGAGAATTGAACGACATTTAAAACCGTTCTGAGTGCAGACTCTCTTTGGCCGTTCAAACTTCCCCCCGACAACCTTTTCCAGTTATCTTGTCCACACGTAGCTTGTGTAGCAGTAACGCTCATTCAAACCCCTGCTTTGGTTTGGGTGTGTTTCTCGGGATTCATGCGTCGGAAACTCCAGCCCCAAAGCCACCTGTTAATGGCTTTTGGAGGTGAGGCTTGTGGAAGGGCAAATGGGAGTGTGAGGGCTCCTCCTTCAAGAGTAGAATGATCAGGGCCGGTGCTGTTGCCGGAAAAGCTCTGCTTCCATCGCAGGGATCCCGTAGGGACACAGATTTGAGTCCCGGCTGCTCCACTTCCGATCCAGCTCCCTGCTGTGGCCTGGGAAAGCAGTAGAAGATGGCCCAAGTCCTTGGGCCCCTGTACCCATGTGAGAGGCCCCAGTGGAGTTCCAGGCTCCTGGCTTTGGCCTGGCCCAGCCTCAGCTATGGCAGCCATTTGAGGGGTGAATGAGTACATGGAGGATCTCTCACTTTCTACCCCCTCCCCCATATCTCTGCCTTTGAAACAAATATATATATTATATTATATTATATTATATTATATTATATTATATATATTTTAAGGAGTAGAATAGAGGCTGGCGCCGCGGCTCAATAGGCTAATCCTCTGCCTATGGCACTGGCACACTGGGTTCTAGTCCTGGTTGGGGTGCCGGATTCTGTTCCAGTTGCCCCTCTTCCAGGCCAGCTCTCTGCTGTGGCCCGGGAGTGCAGTGGAGGATGGCCCAAGTCCTTGGGCCCTGCATCCGCATGGGAGACCTCCTGGCTTCGGATCAGCGCGATGCGCCGGCCGTAGCACGCCGGCCGCGGCAGCCATTGGAGGGTGAACCAACGGCAAAAGGAAGACCTTTCTCTCTCTCTCTCTCTCTCTAACTGTCCACTCTGCCTGTCAAAAAGAAAAAAAAAAAAGAGTAGAATAGAGACCGGCGCTGTGGTATAGCGGGTAAAGCCACTGCCTGCAATGCCGGCATTCTATATGGGTGCTGGTTTGAGGGCGCTGGTTTGAGTCCCGGGTGCTCCTCTTCCGATCCAGCTCTCTGCTATGGCCTGGGGAAGCAGTGGAAGATGGCCCAGGTCCTTGAGCCCCTGCACCTGTGTGGGAGACCTGGAAGAAGCTCCTGGCTCCTGATCGGCACAGCTCTGGCCATTTCGACCATCTGGGGAGTGGACCAGCGGATGGAAGACCTCTCTCTCTCTCTCTCTCTGCCTCTCCTTCTCTCTGTGTAACTCTGACTTTCATTTTTAAAAAAGAGAATAATCCATTTATGGTTCAATGGGTTGCCTCAGGAGTGACTTTGTTATAAAAGTGAGCTCTCTCTGGCACACTTGCTCTGTCTGGCGCTGGGATACCCTCTGCTGTGTCATGGTGCAGCAAGAAGGCCCTCACCAGACACCAAGGAGATGCTGGTGCCAAGTCCTTTTAAAACAGACTTATTTATTTGAAAGGCAGAGTTACAGAGAGGGAGATACAGAGAGATCTTCACTCCCTAAATGGCCACAGCAGCCAGGGCTGGGCCAGGCTGGAGCCAGGAGCCAGGAGCTTCTTCCGGATCACCCACATGGGTGCAGGGCCCCAAGCACTTGGGCCATCTTCCACTGCTTTCCCAGGCCATAGTAGAGAGCTGGATCGGAAGTGGAGCAGCCAGGACTTGAACCTGTGCCCACAAGGGGTGCCTGTGACAGAGAAAGTGGCTTAATTCGCTTTGCCACAATGTAGGCCCTTAGTGCTATGTTCTTGAACTTCCTGGTTTCTAGGACTGTAATAGGGTTCTTTTCTTTATAAATTACATAGTCTCAGGTATTTGCTACAGCAACAGAAAACAGACTAAGCCATCCTTTGTTGAATCTTTTCAAAGCAGTTACATTGTTTTTAATCATAATAATAATATTTATATTTTATGATAATCTCTTGATTTTTTTTTTAAAGATTATTTGAGAGAGGAAGTTTCTCTCTCTCTCTCTCTCTCTCTCTCTCTCTCACACACACACACACACACACACACACATCTTTGATCTGCTGGTTCACTAACTGATGACCACAATGACTGGAGCTGGAGCAGGCTGAAGCCAGGAGCCAGGAGCTTCTTCCGGTCTCCCACATGGGTGCAGGGGCTCAAGCACTTGGGCCATCCTCCACTGCTTTCCCAGGCCATAGCAGAGAGCTGGATCGGAAGTGGAGCAGCCAGGACTAGAACCAGCACCCATAAGGGACGCCAGTGCCACAGGCGGATGCTTAACCTATTACACCACAGCGCCAGCCCCCAATTCTTTAGAGATGATTCCTAGTTAACCAAATCAGCTTATTTGGATTGACATTTTTTTTTTTTTCAATTTCTCCTTGCTTGTTATTGTGTGATTTTAAGCCATGAACTACTGGTTTAAAGGGATATCTATCTATCTATCTATCTATCTATCTATCTATCATCTATCTATCTACCTACCTACCTATCCATCTATCTAGATAAAGATGATTTTCATGGTTCCTATTCTTTTCCCTCTATTTCATCATATTTGAGGATGTTGTTCTAGCAGGAGAAAGAGGATGTTTGCAATGTTTATCAGTAACTCTGGAATTAAGGGAAATAAAATTTGAAGCAACTCAGCCTTTTAGCAACCAAACCTTCCTTAGTCACCAGGGGTTATCAGCCCAGAGTCCAAGCTCTGGTTTTAAAAATATTGGGGCCACAAATCTGTTTGGACAAGAAATCTACAGCTGAACATTTCTTCCTCTTTTAAAAACACACAAGAGTACAAACACTTGTGCAAATGCGAATAGGATCCAAACCACGGATGTTGAACTTACGAAGTTCTGGGAAAGACAGGACAACCATTTGGAAGCCATTCAAGAGTCAGGATGGCTTTGAAAAGTCCCTTCTGGGAGCATTTCTGCGGGTGGTCAGCTGGGGGCACCTTCCACAGACCTCTCACCCCCCACCCTCCTGGAAGAACTGGGGAGCAATCGGTTTACCGTGCACGCCCACGGCTCATTCCATTGGTGCAGCCTGCTGGATTTTTCCCGCCCACTCCCAGCCCTACTTGCCTGCATTGGCTGCAGCTTGTACGCCTTTAGCATTTCCAGATGGAGCAAGCAACATGGCAGCTGGGCAAAGAGGGAGAGGACATTGTCCCCAGTGGGACCCCACTTGTCACCCAGTCTCCACCTGACTGCATGCCAAGAGCTTGGGGCACTGACAACCTCGGCCGTCATTCTTACTTGTCAAGTACTTGCGCCCAGCGGCTGCTGCTTGCGACACTGGCACCCCACATCCGAGCACCGGTTCAGGCCCCAGCTGCTCTGCTTTGGATCCAGCTTCCCACTAATGCTCTTGGGAAGGCAGCAGAGGATGGCCCAAGTGCTTGGGCCCCTGCCACCCACGTGGGAGGCCCGGATGGGGCTCTGGACTCCGAGTTTTGATCTGGCCCGGCACTGGCTGTTGCGGCCATTTGGGGAGCAAACCAGCAGATGGAGGATTTCTCTGTCAAAAAGATAGATACATCTTTAAAAAAAAT